AGAAAATTTTACTACTAACAGAGATACAAAAGTGGGCGGTAGGTATAAAAAGGTTGACTACCCCTGATGTACATTGATGACTTTGAGGTTTTGAACTGGTCTTGCTTGACACATGTACTACTAAAATTCTCCTGTTGGTTGTAACCTTCAACTAATCCAAATGGTGCATCATAGCGTCCCAACATTTCTGAATCAAGGTACCTCATATTTGCTAACTTAAAGAACATGCACATCTGTGACCCTTTACTCCTGTGTAAATGAAATTTAAAGGATCTTCACACCAGTTGCATTGCTAAATTTGTGGCTGCCGCAGCACTGCCACATTCCCATAGGCAGCCTGTGATTATAATTTTGGATCCTCCCTGCCAGCTTCTCACAGGCAAAATCAACAGAGAAGGAAGTCAGAAACCATTCCCACTGTTTGTTAGGGGTTTTTTTTGGGGGCCTGGCTGTGATCATTCTGTTGATCTGTTTAGATAAGTAAATATATCTGAAGCCGTGACTCAACAGGTCATGGGGTTGTCTAGTTTGTCTCTAATACTTATGCTATCATATTAGCAAAATAAGTTTCATTTGGAGCTTTTTGTGCACACAGCACTGACAAAGATTTTTGGGATGGTAATTCAGGCATAACATTTAGAAAGTAACTTAATAGTTTTCATGTTTGCTAATGATTTTTAAGGGTTAAAATTATTTTGAAATCTATATCAGTCTTATAATAACAGGACTCAGTTCTCTTGAATAATTCTTACTATCAAAGGATAAAGGGGACATATAATGCTTCCAATTTCTGAAGCAATGGCTTTAGAACAATATAAAAACTCACTCTTAAGTTTCTTTTGTTTTACTACTTCTTTAACCTGTCTGCTTACTAATGATTAAGCTTTATATCAGCATTGTTCATTCTGATTAATGATAGTCCAGGTATAGATTTTAAAAACATCCCATCACCCAGGATTTAAAATTAACAGGTTGTTTAAACTGAAATGTTTTAGTCTTTATGGCAGCCAATGCTAGTGCCAATATATATAATGCTTCATCATGTTCAGACAGGTGGAAGGAATACATATAGACAGGGTGAGACTTCATCACTCACTAACAATCTGCTAACCATGATTAAGGTATCTCAAAAACCACATCTTCACTAATCCAAAAATATGCAAATGAAAGGGCGCATGGTGCCAAGTCAGGATTCGGGCATGGCTTAACATCATGAGCTAATCCAGCTCTAAAGATTTGTTAAGCATGGCTTATAACATATGGCACCCTGCAAATCCATCCAACTATGCTTTATTCAGAGCATTTTGATAAAAAATGTAGCGTAACATGATATGAAACTCAAGATTCTCCAATCTGAATGGCTGACAAGCAGAGGTATAATTGCAGCTGTGATAGTCCACAAGCAGCAATATAATTTCATCATTCTTCTTCCTTCTTCATCAATGAAGACAGTAGATAGAATTATAAATTCTGCTGCATTCATTGATTCCTATTCAGATCATGTTCTTTCTTACCCCTTCAAAACCTTGAGGTGCTGTATTCAGCTGTCTAATATTGCAAGTTTTCATGGGAAAGCACTGTATTTAGAAATCATATTACATTCCCCCCCCTGTGTATCTGTTTATTTTATTTCCAAAATAATAATAATAAAAACACATTAAAAATCACCCACAAGACAGCAAGGAAAATAGAGAACTGCTCTAAATATTCTCTTCAATCTTTAGGTTACTTAAAGCCATCTAAAAGAAAATGGAAGAGGAGAGGAAGAGGAATACAAATTCAAATAGAAAATTAATCCCTAAGCCAATTTGCTTCTGTAACATAGTGAGGAGACCTAACTAGTTTTTCCATTAGTGTCTCTCAGAAGAACACTGGAAATAGTGCTTTAAAGTGATGCAATGCTTATAATAAAATGAAAAATGACTCCAGCTAAAATGCTTTTCTCTAAACTTTTCATAGAGCAAATATTCTACGACCTGTTTCTGCAACTCAATCCAGCAAGGGCTATAAATCAAAACAAGCAATTATATTTTATGAATTCTCCAAATGAGAATGCAAGCCTCTAAGTTCCTCATATATAATGAAACTTGCAGCCAAGTCTCCCAATTGCATAACTATAACACAGTTCACTGAATTCAAATATTAAGCATTGGAAAAGAAAAGTTTCACATTGATTTAGTGGAAATAAATATATTGTGTTATAATAGCTGAATCTTTAGAGATAATGTGTACAGATATATTTGTGGGCTATTATAAAATCTATAGAATCTATTAAAACATGCTGGAGCACAGTTATTAAATCTGCACTAGGGCGGCAAATACCATGAGATATCCATCTTTAAACTCTATGAATAAAATCTGGACCAAACAAATGCAATGAAATCAGAAAGCACAAATGCCTTAAGCCCCATTTGGGCATTAGCAAACCGAAGAATGCTCACCTCATGAGATTTCCAGATCGGTCTTTTGGCAACTAAGGTGGCTGTAATGATGTAATGGGCTATTGGGTCGTTTTTCGCCCTCCCCAGGCTTCAGGAAAGCCTCTGGAGTCTAGGGAGGGCGAAAGCTCCCCCCACGCGGGGTGGGGTGCAGGGAAGATTTCACATACGTAGGTGGGGCAGAACTGGGAAATGATTAAAGCCCCCCAAACGAAGAGCAAGCTTTCTTGCCTTTGCCATAACCTTGGCAAGTAAATTGGGAAAGGATGTGACAGGAGTGTTGGATTCCATTTTGTTTGTCCTTTTTTTTTCTTTTTTTACTTTTTGCCCCCAAAAGTTCAAGTGGGTGGAGTGAGGAATCACAGTTTCAAAGCTCTTTTTAAATCCAGAGTTATTCTGAATTAAGATAAAAAGTTCGCCGTAATATATGAATGGTTTCCATTTGCTTTCCATTTGAAGGCATTTCTAAGGGCAATTCTAGAGTTCTATGCTTCTTGGATAGCCAGCTACAGAATGTAAAATGCTACAGTTCATATATATAAGCTGAAAGGCAAAACAGAAGGAAATAGCATCGATACTTACCTAGAAAAGAGACACAGACTTTGCAGAATGTATGAAACTGGAATTTGCTGGCAGCCTCGAGAAGAGTTTTGGCGTTGGCGGAATCTATTACTAAGGAACCTGTATAAACAAATTCCAGCAGCAGTTCCAGAACATCCGCTGTGAGATTTGATAATTCCAGCTCCAGCTTCTCACTGCTTCGGCTACTGTCCCGGGGTGACCTAGCAACAGCAGACAACGAAATTCTTACAGGACATTAACTTTCCCCCAACGGTTGTCACTTACTGATGCCCAGAAAATCTTATTATAAATTCACTGACATAGACTCTTCTTGTTTTTGTTTAAGAATAAAAAAAAATACTGTATCTTAAAGAACAGATGAACTCAAAAGGGTTTTTATTACTGGATCTGAAAGAGAAAAAACTGCACACTCCCAAAAAAAAAAATCAGTTTATTGCTACTCTGCATATTCATGCAAAAAAATCGCAAACCAACGAAATGAACAAAAATTAAGAACAAAATCAGCCAACATTAATGAAAATATGGAATAGGATTAAATTTCAAAGGGAAGCAATACATTTTTATGTTTACAGTTCGCATCTCTCCATCATTGAATAACAAAACCAAGCAGGAGAAAAATAAACCCTGCTTTGTAAATGAACACCTTATCTCTTTTTTTGTTCCCAGGAGCTGCATCCTTCATAAAATACATGGAATTATATCTCCAAATAGAAAGTAAATGGCAAAATGGAGCTTAAAAATTCTTCGTATTCTCAAGGCTGCAGGCAATTTGAAAATAATCTGCACATTTGGTATCGACACATTGGTTGACCCTAAAAATATATTGTTCCCTTTAAGGCGCTTAAAAAAAAATAGAGGAAGGAAGGAGACCCCTCATGGTATTGCTTTGAAAACTAAATACAAGACGAGATAGACAGACAAAATGGTTAGAGCAAAGGAGGGACGGGGGTAGAACAACGACCAGCTCTGCCACAGCCAGCCAGCAGCCATCCTCTCGAAGTCTCATGACTGTGGCCTACCGCTTTTTCCTGCGTAAAGTGCTGAACAATTGGGTGATCAAAATATCGCCTGCATTTCAAGTGTGCATTAGTGCTTGTGAACTTATCAGACAAAAAATAGATACACGGGGAGGGTGTTGGGGTGTTGGGGGGGGGGAAGGGCCCAGTTCCTAACGGCTGGCACATGGATATAGCTGCTGCAAAATGCTAAAGTTGGGTTATACCTGAAAGACAAAACAAAATAAAAAGCATTTGGTAATATCGAGAAAAGGGGAGGAAAGTCTGTTAGCGTAGGAAAGCAAATGCCTTTTAAATGGTTAGCGCCATCAGCACCTTCTCACAGAAACCTTAATTGGTTTTAATGTGGGTTCAAGTCCGGGTACTCTGCCATTGAAACCTGTGTCGGAATTAACACCAACATTTGTATCAGCTTTCAGCAGCTGTCACATCTTCCAATGATTACAACGTTATTTATTTTATTATTTTTATAAATAATTCAAGACGGCGAACATACCTAATATTCCTTCCTCCTCCTATTTTCTCCCACAACAACAACCTTGTGAGGCGAATTCGTGTGTGAGAGAGAATGGCTGGGTCAGAGGTGGGTTGCAAATCCCGGCGCTACCGGTTAGCTCGTTCAGGCAGGTGGGAGGAGCCTTTCACTGCCGCCACTACCGGTTTGCCCGATCTGGGCCGAACCGGGAGCAACCCACCTCTTGGCTGGCCCAAATCACCTAGCTGGCTTCCATGCCTAAGGCAGGACTAGAACTTGTAATTGGTTGGTATTTAGCCTGGTGCCTTAACTAATAGATCTGAAGCACATTACTATGATTCCTATTTAAGACAACTCTGCTCTGATGCTACCAAATTTTTTAATACCTCAACTTGAGAATATAGTGTATGCCTCAGCAATTTTGGTATCTTTACAGTACGGTTGCATTTTACCTGGGTAAAAGTTTACAAATTTTCCTATGAAATATTGTAAGTTTTATACAGAAAACAAAATAGAGAATGGTACACTTGGGCACTGCACGTAGCTCACAACTGCCTTAAATGCCTCAATTATTTTGTTGTTTCAGTTTGTACAAAAGACTCTTTCATCTCCCTATGTGCCTTTTTCTCACTAATACCACATTGTTATTGATGAGGATGTGCTTACTCATTCCATCATCCATTGCATCTATGCTGATGAAAACAGCAACAAGGACAATAGCTAGTAGTTAAATCTGTTAAGGTAAGGCAGCATTTTTTCTACTTGCTTAACGGGAAAATCACGGATGGAAAAAAACCTCACTTTTTGCAAAAGCCAGAGAAAATGCAAGGTAGAATGTGAATCTGGGCGAGAGTATTTCTGTCCATGCTTTTGTCACAAGTTGCTAACGTTTATATATGTTAATTGTATCAATAGTTCTGCAAGTGATTAATTATACTCAGTTCTCTCTGGAGACAAAGGAAGGTAAATGCATCCAGAAACCTGTGAATAGCTTTTACCACTATTAGATATTTTTTTTATTTAAAAAAAACAAACCCAATATTTGAGACAACTCCAAATTGTTATTTCTCTCTGGAATAATTTTGTGATGATGTCGTCTCTTCATAATATACCAAGCAATAAATGGCTGTTCCAATTGATTAAGCACCAAAACAAAGCTAAGGTGTTTAATCAATCACAAAAGCTGCTCATGGAGAGCATAATACCCAGCAGAGATTTATTGATCTAACATGACTTGCCAGAAATGGAAAAGAAAATTATATCATTTTCTTCTTCTGGTGACAGCTTAATATTGGCAAGACGAGGCAACAGAACTGCTGTGTGGCCCACAGATCAGAGTATATTGCATGACAAGAAAGTTCTTGACCCAATCAACAAAACAAATTACATTAAAACAAGTAAATTCAAAAAAACGAGCAAACACACAGAGAACAAATATGGCTTCCATGAAGATGGACAGCCTTGGACAAAGTTAAGAGGATCGTGGTTTCTATGAGATAAGCAAAAGGATATAAACCCACCCAAAACAATGGACTGAGTAGATTAACTTCTATAACTAGACAAACACCATCTCCCAATCCCACTAAAACGTATCAATAAAGGAAGGTATTTGTAGAAATGAGGCGTCCTTGGTACTCTCTGAGCTTGGCTGTTTTCTTGAAGATGTTTCAGTACCCAGACTTGGTAACACTATCAGTGCTCACTCAACAACTTTAGCACTGATGACGCTACTTCATTTGAGTAATGAAACATCTGTGACAAGACAACCAAGCTCAGAAATCACCAAGGACCCCCCACTAAAACCTATCTGGTAAACTGCAACAAGCAAGGACTGATTAATTAGAATCAACGGCTGTTCCCTCTCTCATGCCAAGGCAAGAGATCTGTTCTTCCAAGGCTGCTCATATTATTTTGGGAACAAAGGCAAAAAAAGCAAAAACAAAGCCCTCACAAGGGTTTCCCTTTTCCATCCACTGCACAAGAAGCTGTTTCATTCTGCTTAATGGAAGGATCTATCCTGAAAGTTAAAAAAAAATGAGGACAAAATAAACATTGGATACAATAGGGCAGTGTTTCTCAACCTTGGCAACTTGAAGATGTCCGGACTTCAACTCCCAGAATTCCCCAGCCAGCTGGCTGGGGAATTCTGGGAGTTGAAGTCCGGACATCTT